GTACATATCAACATCACACGAGTCTCTCATAATCTCGTTTCTCTGTCTGTGAAGATTTGTGACAGTTCGAGACTCTCAATATTTTATCGTCAAAGCATTGTCAAACAGGATGAAGACAGCTGCCAGCCTCACCACAATGGGATGTGGGACATGAGTCATTTTTGAAGAAGAAGAAACGTCTCAGGTTACGTATGTAACCCTAGTTCCTCGAGGGAACGAGACGCTGCGTCGAGAACACTATTTCACACATGGAACTTAATGGATAACTGGTTCCCAGTTCCTAATTCTAATTTAACATGTAAATATTTTCATATGCTGTAATTGTAGAATGAAGGACTGCAGGCAAATCAAGTTTAAGGACAACAATGACACGCATTGGGGATGCTTCTTAAACTAACATTAAGTAAAACTAGCATTTGAAACCTCATTAAAACGTTTTGTTTTTGCAATTGTTTTCATGAGTGGATTCCTCTTGTGCTTCATGTGCTACTATTTTTTTAAACAGCCGCTAGTACAAAAAAATGTCAATTAGAATACAGCAATGCAACAAAGCTCATTTTGTAAATTAATATACAGTATAACTGGGTAATATGGGTGTAATAGACTTGTGATATGCATGTTGATTCATCCCCCACACACGTCTATGACTATTAGCTGTCATATAGTGAATTTACAGCAAAGAATGACAAACCTTTACACTTATATCAATTAATAAATTCATTTTAACGGAGCTAAATTTCTCAGTTAAAAGCAGAGCATTTTCTTATAGCTTTTCTGACTCATAATATTTGATATTTTGCTCATTTTGTAATTTAATGTCATAAAGCATTTACAAATAGAGCACTTAAGATTCCAAATAAAATTTTTTTTTATATTTGACCCCTTAAGACGTCAATTGCCGTACAAGTTTGCAAGTCTTTGCAACTGATGTCACTTCATACGAAGATGTTTTTGCTTCTTCAAAGTGCCTTTTTTTGCACAAGAGTCAACTGTTTGGTTTTACAAAGACAAACTGCAACACTTAACTGTATCACTCTGTGAAAGTGCTTTTATTATGCTTCAGCAAACCAAGAGGCCTTCAGAGAATTCAAGCTAGTGTTTCCCTTTTCTTTGGTGAATCTTTCTACAGGCCTTCAATTTCAGTAATGCTGAAGAAAGAAAGAAAAAACATTGTGCCATATGTAATTTGATTTGAAAAACCACTTCCAAAAACTGAAAAAAAAATGATTTTGGAAATTAGGAGAATAATTGTTTAACATTTAAATTTATATGGTCATAATACATTACAGTTCCCTTTCAATGGAACTTCGAACTGCGTCCTCTAGGCTTCCCCATAGCGACCCCTAGAGGATGCAGTGTCTCATTCCCTACTCAGGGAACCATGGTTACATAAGTAACCTGAGACGTTCCCTTTCAAGGGAACTTCGAACTGCGTCCTCTAGGGGGAAGCCTAGAGGACACAGTGTCTTGTTCCCTACTCAGGGAACCATGGTTACATAAGTAACCTGAGACGTTCCCTTTCAAGGGAACTTCGAACTGCGTCCTCTAGGGGTCGCTATGGGGAAGCCTAGAGGACGCAGTGTCTTGTTCCCTACTCAGGGAACCATGGTTACATAAGTAACCTGAGACGCTTTTCTTTCCAATTTAGTATATATATATATATATATATACATATATATATATATATATATATATTTCTCCCTTTGTGAAGCATTACTTTTCCAACAAATGCCTTGTTTTTCAAACGATAACTGCAAAAAGATGCACATAAGGTCAAAAAATTTAAATGTTTTTATATGATCAATATTTATTTATATGTAAAATTACACTGTTTTATAGATTTTCTTTTTAATAATTATTGAGCATTTGAATTCAACTTTAAGTGGAATGTTTAGCGTTTACAATTGTTTAAAAAAAGTGAAGGTAAATGACGACATTTTAGGTGGGATCAGTTATTGTGATCCATGTAGGACACTTATCATCTTTTTACAAGATGTAAAATGACTTTGATTTCAATAAATGTAATTTTAGAATTATGATAGCAAGTAATAAACAGCTGACTAATAATTGTTGAATATTCTGTATATTCAATTAAAACACTGTCTTTTCAAGAGATGTTACTTCTGTAAAATCTCTCTGTCTCTCTAATTCAATGGCATGATCAGTGTGCGTTCACATTAGGCTACTCTCTGCTCAATGTTGTCACACTGAGTAAACAAGTTTTAGCAATACATTGTAGACAGATTGTGTGCGTATATACATGCCAAAATAACACAAAATCTAGTTTGTACTTGCGGCCATTTCACATATCCTAAGCTCGGATTTTATTTAATAAATGAGAATTTAAGTCATTTAAAATTGTGATTAAGGAGATCTTAGTTATAATGTTGTTTAAATGTGTAGTTATCAGCATTGCTGTCCATTCCTCTTAAACAATGCATGCATTTCCTGTGATCTGTTGGGCGCTAAAGCACACAAAGAAAGTGGGTGTTATTATATTACAAATGATGTACAGCAATATTGTTGTTTCAAAAGAAAAAACCACAATCACAAAAATAAGCGAGTCTTACCCATAGGGCCAACAAGCATGTGCACTTTCTTGAAAACACATCATGACTATTTTTAATATATCCCGGGAATTATTACAGTGCTTTTTGTATAATAGGTTAAGTACATTTTAAATGACATATTTTGGTCTAACAAACACCTAATGCCTCTCATTCAAAGTAGTGGGATTGCATTGCTGGCAGATTCTACACAGAAACTCGCCAAGAACTAGAACACCTGCACACTTTATACCTCATACAACACTCAACAGAAATTACTGAGCTTTCAGCACATGAGCCTGCAATCACCACTGCACATTTCAACTGCTGATGACTTAGAATATACATAAAAATGGGCTGATGGGAAGTGAAGTAAACTGTCAGCGTTACATGGGTATGGAGATGAAAATGTGTGGGGTTTTATATTTCACAACAAAGAAATTACATGTTTTTTCTTTTCCTGTAAGTGAAAATGTATCATAACTAATACTGTAGAATAAGCTATGGATTTAGATGTAATACATGAAATGTTGCTTTATTGAAGATGTTTTTTTTTAATGGAGGAGTATGCTTATAATTCATGTCACCTCACGCAAACTATATGTGGAAACTTTGTTTCTGGTTTTAAACTAACATATGACAGAAAACAAGAATACTAATAATACAGAGGTTTGACAGACTTGCAACGGCTAGATTCATTTGAAAGTTCTACATGGTGTTAATTGCAGCTAAACTTACTGGCTTTTTATGTTTTTCTTTGTGCATATTTTATGTCACTGATTGTGATGTGAAAAGATTTTTTGTTGGATGTATGTATGGTAAATCTTTTTGCACATTATAGACTATTCATTTTGAAACATAATTAAATGTTTTTGACAAGTGAAGATGAAGTTGAACTTTTCTAATAATAATCCCTTTGTATTAAGACACAATATATTAAAGGCAGTAAAAATGCAGATGTTAAAAACATATTAATGTGTCTTTAAGATGATTATGTAAGTTTATAAATAATGTGAAGTTTGTGGAAAAATACAGTAAGAGTAGGTGAACCTGTTTACAAAAAATCTAAATTTCAAATCAAAATGTCATTACCAAAGCCATTAAGATTACTGCTGCACATTTACATATATACCATAATAATACAACATCATAAAGCACATAATAAAAATATTTACTCCATACATTTAACATTCAGCAAAGCTAATGCACATCTGAATACGTTAAGGCAGGTTGGTGAATGTAGCAACAACGCTTACAATCAAGACAACAAAAGTTATCTGAATGGGTAACATTTTCACAAGCTGAAAAAGACAATATACAGCACAACTTCATAAACAATTAGAGAATAAATACATTTTAGCTGTAATCATATGTCAGAAAGTTCAGTCTTTTTTTTTTTTTTGTAATTGAATGCTTTCGAATTTATGGTCCCGAATTAATATTCTATCCACTCATTTTGCAAAAAAAAAAAAAAATGTGTGAAAAGCATATAGAATCAGTTTAGTCAGAGTATATAACTGCTCAGAGTCACATGAACAATTCTTTTCACCTATCAAAATATATAAATACTAATGTGTGACTCCAAATCAATAATATGTTAGAATTATTATTCCTGAAAATAGATGTTAATGTTAATTAATTTATAATTTATGAATTTATATTTATAATTATAATTAAAACACCAAATAACAGAGCACAAATGTGGGCAAACATATTACTTCAAGTAAAATATATACAGCAATTTATTTACAAACACATTTAGCAACAATAAAACAAGATAACATTTCTACCAAACAAGAAACTTTACAGTCTAGTGCTCCAGATGTGTGCACTGCAAAATTATTCTTAAATAGGCCAATTTTCAAAACAGTATTATTCATTATAATAGTCATAACTACTCAAAATACTCATATCAATATGATTAATCATCTTTATCATTTGTATTTACTTTGTAAGTTTGTACCAAGACTGCTTGTGTTTTCATGTATTTTCCAATAAAACATTTACATTATCAATAAATCATAATGATTTATTTAATTGAAACATTTAAACGGTTTATAATGGGAAAAAAATACCTTGAAAATACCTGTTATTCAAGAAAAATACTTGTACACCCTGTATAAATATTATATTTCTTTATACATACAGGGCCAGTGCACTGTGCAATATGCTGCCTTGAAACATGATATACAAAATAAATGATTATGAATATGCATTTATGAATATGAAAATATTTTAATTGTTAGCTATTATTTGTGGAGAATCCAAAATGAGGTCTCTGTTTACTGTAAGGCAATTAGCTGTGTTCAACATCTATACATCTATGCAATCTCAACTTTCAAGCCAAGCAGACAATATGTCTCAACTGACAAACTACGGAGTGATAAATACAAATTACAGAGAAATCAGTTTTATGATCATCGTTTCCTAAAGAAGGCAAGCTGCTCTTTTGGGAGTGAACTGTCCCTTTAATTTGGTCTGTAAATAGTCAGTGCATCTCATTTCAATTAGTAGAGGAAACTAAACAACATGGTTTGTGCTTCTGCATAATGCAAAAATAGAGAGTATTCTCTTATCAGCATCAAGCAACAAGAAAGCTTGTTTCAGTAATGTGTGAGAGGAAGGTAAACAGGGAATGAGATGAAATTTAAAGCTTGATTTCAGACGGATGACACACTGTTGTGTGACTCAGTTAAGGGCAGCTTAGGGCTGGACTTCTCTAAAACTGAGATTTGTGTGACTGTGCTGCTCTCAGTAAAGAGGGTTCGTCTTCTCTTACTGTATCTCAAATAATTTTGTGTCTGCCACTTCCACAGTCTCTTCTTCAGTTCTGCTTGGACCTGAAAACACAAACAAATGTATGTGCATTTTTGAAAGCAGGATGTATTTCCTGTTTTACACATACACTACCAGTCAAAAGTTTAGATTAGATCATGTAATGTTTTTGAAAGAAGTCTCTTATGCTCACCAAGGCTGCATTTGTTTGATGAAAAATAGTGTAAAACAGTATTATTGAGAAATACTATTACAATTTAAAATAACTGTTTTCTATTTTAATGCATTTTAAAATGTCATTTCTTCCTGTGATGGCAAAGCTGATTATTCCAGTCTTCAGTATCACACTGTCTTAATAAACTGTAACTGAAGTATAACAGAATTCTTTCAGAAACATTATACAAATCTTAATTATTCCAAACTTTTGACCATTCAATTATTTATTTACTATTAGGAAACACATGTGGCTTACCTCTCCATTGAGAAAACAGTATAATAGAGCCACAACAAAACCCTGAGATGTACAGAAACACAGTATAACAGTCAGTCACTCTGGGTGCATTAACAATTACAGTACAGCTCAATTCACTAAAACATATGCAGCTATTAGTTGACATATATACATTACAGACATATATTATACATTTACTCAATGTGTAGTATATTTACATATTTAACATATATATGACACAAATGATCATTTATAGTGTGATATCAAAAAATATTGCACATCAGACAATTCCACAATTGATGAGAATTAGTATTCTGTGAATTTCATAGATGCTGGGCAGTACACACCTGAAAGGGACCCAGGCCGAGTTCAAGAAAGTGGCGAGCGTTTTCTCCTGTGTTCTCTGGCAGGAAGGCAAAAACCATGTAGTGCATGCCAAACAGAGGAATCAGGAAAAGGGTAGACTTGGCCAGTCTCCTACAAGTATACATAAAGTTCAGCATTAATTCAGATTAATAACAAACAATGAAAGTACATTTTGGAGGGAGTTTTTTCATGAGGGACTAATGAGCAACTGCAATGGCTGTAAATTAATGCAGCCTAAAAACAGCATGCTACATGAGGGAGTAAACAAATAAAACGTAAAAAAAAATAAAATAAATTTGACATGGCAATAATACATTACTTCAGTAGCATGTGCGCCAGTCTTCAAGTATTTGCCAATTGTCTATGAATCAAACATTTTTCTATTATTTACTGCCTTTGTTTTGAGTATGCTTTTTATTCCTTACATGAAGTGGTTGGTATCACTGCCACCCATTCCTGGAGACTTCAGCTTCTGCACAAGAATCCGGATCACATTTATGAAGATGAAGAAATTCATCTATAGATAAAAAAATGTAAAAGAATGTGACTCTGTATAATAAATGAAGGAAAATCTGTAAATTAATGCAGCCTAAAAACAGCATGCTACATGAGGGAGTAAACAAATAAAACGTAAAAAAAAAATAAAATAAATTTGACATGGCAATAATACATTACTTCAGTAGCATGTGCGCCAGTCTTCAAGTATTTGCCAATTGTCTATGAATCAAACATTTTTCTATTATTTACTGCCTTTGTTTTGAGTATGCTTTTTATTCCTTACATGAAGTGGTTGGTATCACTGCCACCCATTCCTGGAGACTTCAGCTTCTGCACAAGAATCCGGATCACATTTATGAAGATGAAGAAATTCATCTATAGATAAAAAAATGTAAAAGAATGTGACTCTGTATAATAAATGAAGGAAAAAGCTAATATACTGTACACATCAATTTACTGTGTGTTCAAATATTCAGAACGAAACAATTAAAATGACTAGGGCAAAATAAAAATGCAAGTATTTAACAGCATTACATACTGTATTTCATAACTTTTTAGCTTTACTTTCAGATGTTAGAAAACGTCATTTTGATTTTGCACAATTCTGGCACATGAAAAAATAATTCATGATACTGTATTCTACTGCAACCAGCATTTTCCGTTATTTTCCAGATGTGGTCTTATATGCTTGATTAAATCAGCTGTATTTTACCAGGAGAGACACTGTGATGGGTCCTTTGATAATCCACCAAAAGTAAGCAACATCTGTGTCATCCCAGCACCTGCAACATTCACATGAGCTTATGATTATTTATAAGTAGACCAGTAACTGCACTTTCGCAAACAGCACTGAAATGTATTTTTCAGTATTTATCACTATAAATCAAATATCAGTATCACACACTAGTTTAAAGGGTTTAGATCAATCTGGACTTACCCTCTGTTATCAAAACAATTCCTTGCTAGAACCCAGATGGTCAGTATTAGTGTTGGTAGACCTACAGGATACAGACAGCCAAACTAAATGAATAAAATGTCATCAAACTGTAAAGCACGTTTGTTACTATGCTGACACAGAATCAAGAAAAGGTTTCATGTATTCATATCCAAGTATATTCATATCTAACTGAGATTTCCTATAAAAATCCATGTTTAGGGGGGAAAAAAAGTTTATTTTTCATCTCATGCCTACAGGTGTCACCAATGGAACATAATACAGAAGGCCACGATTACCCAAACTTTTGAATGGTAGAAAAAAAGATTTCACAATATTACTTGTTCTGGGATTACAGCAACTAACTATATTTCAGGTGCATATTTAACCCCATTGCTACCTCCCCTGATGCAGGCACAGGTGAAAGTCATTATGAAAACAGAGTTTAAGTGGTAGAGATTAAATTTAGCACTCAGGAGAGAGTATTATGTTCTTGTATGACTGATTCAACTACTGGTAAATGTCTTTTTCACATTAGGAACACACTCATCTATTAACCTTGGACTGCTTGTTTGTGTGTGTGTACAGAACATTATCATATTATCTCTCATTTTTCATTCAAAGTACTGTCTCTATTCTCATTACCATTTGACTGCAGTCCTCTGCCACAAAAAACAAAACAAAAAAAAAGATAATATAAGGGAACTGCCTGACAGAAGAAAGGTTATTTACGCTTTAAATTCAGTAGCTATTTTTATTGGCAATAACAATTTGCTCCCAGCAACACTTAAGAAAAGTAACACTTACACACTTAAAAAGCAAGATATATTTTCAAAGAAAATGAACTAAGTGCAAAAGAGTCGTCAGCTTTGAGGTGAAGGGAGCTGGTCAGGATCTTGGGGTACACATGAAAATGAGGGTAAAATAAGTCTCTCTCAGCAAACCAAACCCAAAAGTGTCTCCATTTGCATTTGTTTCACAACATTTGTTTTGTATTTCTACTCAAAAAAACAAACAAACAAAGAAAACACTTCAAGTAAGTAAGCAAGTAAGGCCATAAGATTCTCTGAGGATGTGTACAGTATTGCATGTAGTGAAGTTTTCACCTCGGATTCCGATTCCACATCCTCCACAATCTCACAAGCATTCTCATAGGATGGGTAGACTTTGGTCCAGCCACTCTTGGTGCAATTCCTAATTATGAAACCTGTATTAAAATAATGTTGAACATAATGATCAGCATGCAACGTTTTATAGGCTACATTTTGACACATAATTTTGCAAAGAGACTTGTAAAACACCAGATAGCAACAGCTGCTCATTACATTGCCTGTAACAGATACATCTAGTACTTTTCTTTGTAATTAGTCACAAAAATTAAACAGATGTTTCATTTGTTCTAGATTTTATACCACTGTAATAATTTACTTATTTGTAAGGGAATTAATCATTATT